AGTCAGTTACAGCTTTCAGCAATTAGCTCTGTCAAATTCAAGTCATATGCATTTGGGTGTTCTCTTCTGACATTTCTCCTGCTCGGCTCCTATGGTTTAAGGTGATAACTGCTCTATAAATAAAGCCAGTTGTGGTAGCTAAGCCTAGTAATTACTGAGCATCTTCAAATGTACCATAGTACCATGTGCTTTAGTAAATGGTAAAGTAGTATGGTTTTGAATAAGAAAAATGACGTTTGCATTATTTTTAAAAAATAAGCATGTCCTTGGAGAGTTTTAGTTTTCTGTCGTCTCTGGGAACAGAGTGCCCTGTCACACTTGAGGGTGACTTCAGTAAGAAAGTGTATTAGCCTAATGACCATTTCCTGAAGTTAAATCATCCCTAACAACCAAACAAAATTTTCTTATTTAATCTGTTAAAACACTTGAGTAGACTGAAAATTTTCTAAAGCATGTCTCTTAACACTGCTATAGATAAAGATGGACAAAATAAATAATTGTAACTCTTCCAAGTTTTATTTCCCTGTAAATGGCATTATCTCATTTCCAGAAATGGCACATTTTTATTCAAAAATAAAAATAAAAATTACGATCTTGTTTTAAAGGATAATCTAATTTATTGTTAGTGGTTTGAATCATTGAAGGGGTCAAAGGCATCTTTTACATCAATTTGCAAAAGCAAATTAATGTTTTGAAGGAGATGTAAAAGTCAAGTTGCTTGGGAGTACATTAAATTATATGATAGTTAATGGTGTTAGAGAGATAGTTTAAAAATAAATGGACCATAATACCTTTTAATAAAGGAGCTACATGCATTTTTGTTCCCTGCTAAAAGCAGATGCCTATTTGGCACTGTTTTGAATCCCATTTGCCATGTATATTTTGAGTAATACTATGCTGAGTAATGTGCACTATATGGTCTAGGTTCAGTAACCCCACTGTAAAATAATGAGTCTTCAAGAGTAAAAAATACATTAGCTCTGTAATTGCATATTTGAGGGGCTCTGCACATATTCAAATAAAACAAAACAAAACAAAACTGCAACTTTCACCCAGTAAATTTGCTCCCAAGGGAAACTTGCATATCTTAATTTGTATTTGGCTTTCCAACTGAGCTCTGAAAACTGGACAAGACACCAACTCTTTGCAGATGTTTTCTATAAATACCTTTTCTTTGAGTTTGCTGCCACAGGACCTTGCAGAAGCCCCAGTCTTAAGGGAACTTATGGCAGCTGGGAGGCAGCCAATAGCAAGGAGTTCACTCACTAAGTAGTGTCTTCAGAAAAAGGTCCAGCACTCATATTTTATGAAATTGTAACATGATTTACCCAAGGTTGTCAAAAGAGATGAATTTCAGCCAAATGTAAGGTAATAAATAGTAACATGTGCTGTATATAGTTGACTTATAACCCTTGGCATTTTGAAAGAAAATTCTTTTGAAGAATTCATTTTATACGTCATAAACTTTCCTATTGTTTTTCCTGTTTTGACTATCTTTGTCATAAGGTTTCTTGTGGAAAACTATGTGTGAAAACTGTAAATGAAGCAATATTTTCAAGAATACTTACATAGGTTTCTATTTCCATGATGTACTAAGAATAAGAACGTTAGTAGTGTAGAAAAATAGTCTGTTTCATTAAATCAGAACCTAGGGGGGAAAAAAGACAATAAGGTAATGTATATGTGAGCTTTTTATTATTATTTATTTAATGCTTATAGAAAAACCTTTTTCAAGGTTGAAAGTTATTTGTTTTCATGACATATGTTGTTCTGAGGAACAGAATAGTTTAAGGATTGTGTTATTACTATTCTTGTTGTTATTGTTATTATTACCATTATTATTATTAATCAATTTTTTGCTAGAATATAATGGTCATTTATCCAATCATTTATCCTTAAAGTAAGTATAGTCGAAAACATATTTTATATTATCAAGTATCCACTTCAAATCTGCTGGCTTAAACTATCTATATGCAGTTATGAATCCTCAGACAGGAGTGAAATGCATGCCCTTTACTGCCACCCCATATGCATCAAGTCGACCTTCTAAAGCACTACTTGTCACCTGTTAAAAAAACAGCTAGGCAGGTTTGCAGGTTCGTTGGTTATTGGCAGAGTGTGTTGCATGCTGGTGAACTTTAAAATGGATTTGTGGACATCCAGACAGCATGCTTACATTTTGGCACATATTCCAATTTTTCAAAAAACCTCCAGAAACAATGGTAGCCAACAGTGGATCTTACAAAGAGACTCAGAGGTCCATAAGCCTGGTTTCCACAAAACACGGCCCCAGCCTCCACAGCCTGTCTTAATGAGTCTATCAGCTAGGACTGGTATCTGTGATTAATGCTGTGCATGTATACATATGCCTTCACACATACATAAATATCATAGAACCTTAGAATCATTCAGGCTGAAAAAACCTCTAAGATCATTGAGTCCAACAGTTAACCCAGCACTGCCAAGTCCACCTAACCATGTCCCTAAGACATCTACATGTCTTTTAAATCCCTCCAGGAATGGGGACACCACCACTTACCTGGGTAGCATGTTCCAATGCCTGACAACCATTTTGATGGAAGAAATATCTCCTAATACCCAAACTAAACCTGCCCTGGCAAAGCATGATGCCATTTCCTCTTGTCCCATTTCTTACTTGGAGGAAGAGATTGACCGCCGCATTGCTACAACCTCCTTTCAGGTAGTTTTTAGAGAGCAATAAGGTCCCCCTCAGACTTCTTTTCTCCAGCTCTAAACATTCTCATCTTCCTCAGCCTCTCTTAACAAGACTTGTGCTCCAGTCTCTTCCCCAGCTCCATTGCCCTTCTCTGGACATGCTCTAGCACCTCAATGTCTTTCTTGTATGGGAGACTTGTAGGGGAGACTTGTAGGGAAGTAGGAGCTTTACTTGTCTTAGAGGGAACCAAATCTTGGGGGCCTACACCCAGGATTTGAGTGTGGCCTCACCAGTTCTGAGTACGGGTGAACGATTACTGCCCTCATCCTGCTGGTCACATTATTGCTGATACAAAATATATCCTATATAATATATATGTGACATATCCACATATACATATACATGTGTCCTCAGATATAGGAAGGATGCGTGGATATACAAGAGCAGGATCTACAGAAAAGTGTCAGTAAACAACTTTGGTTTTTACCTGTTCAGTTAATGTGCAGTAAGAGAGCTGATGACAGTGCAATGATCCACTTTTCTAGGTAGATACTTCATGAAGTCTTTCTGTGAGGATCTCGTGGGGTTGTCTTTCTCATAATGTCAAGGCAGGAAATGTAAATCTGAAGCCTTTGGGAAGGTAATCCGTTCCATTAAATTTTAGGGTTTAGTTAAAACAAGTTCAAACATCATTGAATATAATCCAAAATTATATTTGGATAGAGTGGCCTCTCAGTAATGTTTGCAACCATTGTTCAAATAATGTCTGGACAGATTTAACCTGATCTTGTCATACTAAGCTCCTACTGAAGTCAAGGAATCAAGTAGACACTTTTAGGGAGAGAGTCATTTTAACTATTTTCACTATCTAGCTTGATATTAAAATAATCAAACTCCAACAGTGCTTCCATGAACCACAAAGTAAGGATAGAAGACAAGTTCAGATGCAGAAGTTTGCATTTCTTCCATGATGCCAATATATTAAGAAAGGTATTGATACACCTGAAATACTTTAATTTCTTTGTTGTAATAGGGCAAACTGTAATAAGCTGTCAAGTGATGTAAGCACAAACTTAAAAGCAGGGATAATGCCTGGTGTTGAAAATGTAGGTAATTAAAGCATTTGAAAAGGTCTATGGAAACTCGTGTAGTTAAGCAAGAACATGTGTCCAAAGCAGTCTTCAGACATGCTGATAATCCTAAACCTTGAGGTTCTCAGTGGTTCCCATTTTTGCACTTACATGCACACTATAGTGGAAGAAACAAACCCCCCTCAAAATGTTAGAGAACTATTCTGTCTCTACTTTTTGAAAATATGCATTACCATAATCATATATTGGAAGAAATTGAACCAACACTACTTGAATAAAAAAACAATTTTCCTAAAATATTACATGCATTACACATATAGTCAAAGTTCAACTCACAATGTTTACATGTAAGGAAATAGAACTTAGGCGCAGAGGTGGATGTTCTTATTATTTAACCTTTTACTCTAGCACTAAAGAGGATATACAACTTCATCTAACAACTACAGCAAAAGGGCTGTAATTTTGAATCAGATTGGGTAAGATAGCAGGAACTCCAGAAAATGTAGGCAACTTCTAGAAAACAGTTTTTATCTGGTTAAATAATTCATGAGAAATTCAATTATTCTGAAGTATTTTGTATCTGAGAAAGGATGTAAAATGCTCTCATCTCAGGTGGGGAGAGTATCACAAATTTTGATACAGGTACGGGAAACTAAGAACTGGGATTTATGGTGGAATGCAATCCCAGGTTTAAAGAATTAAAATTAAATTGATTTTTTCTTCATTTCAAAATGTATTTTCAGCAAAAAGTATAAATTTTATTTTATTGAAAATGATTAATATGAGGGAATGAGACCTTTAAATATAACAAAAAAAATTTAGAGTTAGAAGTCCTGAGATTTTCTTATCTGCTATATAGTCTGGAAAAGAACATCGAATTCCTTGAGTGATGTTTGGTTTGTAAATTGGAATGTATTTGATATCTCTCCATTTATGAGGGCCCCTGCAGCTCTCATCTGACCCTCTGAGGCACCAAAGCCAGCAAGGCCCAGGCAGAGTTGGAAGGTGTCCCCTGAAACACAGGAAACTGTGCACAACTGCTTCTTCTATGGAAAGGGAAAATGTGGCCAGGATGTGGTGGCTCCCAAAAGTCACCTGGGCTTACAAAGTTTAACCTCTACCACAAAGCTTCTGCACAGGGTTATTTCAGAGCTGACTGACACCATAAGTATAGTCATATAATTTCGCCCTCAAGTGTAAGCATGTTTCTTTTGAAAAGCTGTTACTGATTTTATAATTTATTGCATTTTCTAGAACAGAGAATTTGAAAAATTTTACACCTAATTTTATTTCCATACGATTTTTTTCCATTGAAAAGAACCAAATATGTTGTTTTCAGAACTGTTCTTTCTAGCAATTTTAATAACTAAATTATGTTAACAAATTTAGCAGAATAAAAATTACTGTTGAAATGGAAAATTTCATATCAATATTAGGAAAGTTCTTAAAAAATCATCAAAGACAACATAAAAAGGATTATGATTTTTTTCTAATGTTTCAACCACAAACTGTCCTGGCACCTTTGATCTATAGGAAAAGTACAGAAAAAACAATTTCAAAACTCCTAGATTATGTCAGATGTGTAATTTCCATTAGAAGAATTTATACAATAAGAATTTATTTATATAAAATGTATATATACAGATACATAATGAATGCATACAAATATAATATGGATTTGAAACTAGATATGTTTTATATATTATATGTTATATACACATACAGAGGTATTTACATACATAAATGTGTGTGCACATCAATATATATACACATATACCTAACTTGAATCCTGTATAAAGGGTAGAAACAACTAACCTAAGCTTAGGGAGGTGATATTAGGTAGATATTCTACCATTTATTTTTTTTTTAAATGGTCTGCTGCAAGCAAATAGTCTGATATGCAAAAGAAGACAGTAAATTACCAGAAACATTTCTTGACTGATGGGTAAGAGCCTCTGCTCTAAAACCAAGTATGTGTGAAAGGTCGGGCTATGTAGCTTTTTTAAGAATAGAAGCATCCTAGTGATACTTTTTAAAACAAAAATCTTACTAGTGACTCCATTTACCTAAATTAAATACCACTTTCATTTTGTGAAACTCTTAAAGCAGGAGATTTACAAGGACAAGATAAGAGGACTGGCAGATGTTCTTTGATTCATTCATTTGAAGGGAAGGGCATTTGGAAATGGCATTGGCACATAATGACATTTGGAATAATGGCCCATGATTCTGTTGGCACTTTTAGTGTTAAGCAAGTGATCTGCAAGGTAAAGTGGATTCACAGTTAGAGTTAGCACCAGTGCACAGGTCGCCTGTAAAAATAGAAGATTTCATTATTCTTCAGGCTCCCCAGAGAGAGCAAGGTCTCCAGCATCATTACCAGGACTAAATCTGACTTTTCTACCTCCCTAATTTCCTCCTAGTAATTATAGGTCAAGCACTCTTTTGTAAAATATAAAACCTTTGTTCTTATCAAAAATGAATAGCTGAGAAAAAAAAATTATAGAATCCTAGGAAAAAAATTTCAATTAGAAAACCAAGCTAATTTGGTATGACCAAAGACTGTCAGGCATACTGACAGTGTTCTATTATGCAGTCATTTGGGCTCTTTCAAATTAGTTATGTTAATGTCCTGTGAGTGAATGTAACACTTGGATGGGACAAGATTTCTGCAATTAATTTCTGCAGTCAGTGGAGAGACAAGCAAATTTATTTTCCCCCTCTCTGGGAATTGGTAGTGGAGTGTATGAGGTAGAGAAAGTGCATTTAGGAACAGAGTACAAGCTAAACACAAGCCCTAAATAAAGCAGAAACAATGGGAGCCAATGCCTCCTCATTCATTCAATTGACAATGTTTTGCAGCTTAAACCTGTTTTATTAATTATGTTTGACATTTCCTTAATTAGTTTCATTTACACCAAATCAATCCCTACTGCTGTATGGCATCATTTATCATTTTGAAAAATTTGCATACTGAGTGCTGACTTTTTCTACTTAATTATACATTAAAAGTGTCAAGCGTGCTTGCTGCCTGGCATTATCTGCACCAGAAAGGTTTGTGGCTGGACTGAGATGGTATTAATCATTAAGAGCCCCCAAGTGCTGCTGGGTAATATCTGGGGAGTAGAGTAGTTCTCATTTTAGTGCTAGAGAGCAGAAGTGCTTCTGTAAAATGACCGAAAGCAAAAACAAAATAAATGACCTAAAACATCCAGTCTACTGTAATGCTTCACTCTTTCAGTGGAAATAGGTTCTGGGAAAAAAAAATATTTACTGTTAGCTATTAGACCTCTGCATGTCGAAACTGCAGAGACAGTTCCTCAGGATAGGTGATATTTTGTCTGAATGGGAAACGTGATATTTCAATTAAACGTATATTGATGTCTTAGTAGCAGATAAACCAAAGCACGTATGTATCAGCTTGTACTGATAGTTACTGTTTGTTTGGGGTTTTTTCATTGTAAAGTGTTTAAGTTAAAACCAAGAATTAACATCTCCCTTCATAAAACCCATAATTTACATGAAATCTCTTAAGAAATAATCAATCCTTTCTTAGATAAGATGTTATGCCACATTCTCCAGTTTGTTTGTAAGGAATGTGGCTCCAGCCACAAGTCATTCCTGAACAGAACATGGCATGGCTAATCTATCTGTAAGTACCTATAATCCAGTGCAGGTATTTCAGCAGCTGTGAGTCTGGCAATTCATAGGTGCACTTCTACATTCAGAACAACAGCTGCTTTTGAATAGCTTCAACTACTTATCAGCAGTAGCTTTCAGAAATGCTCTTTCTCTCACAACAATTGTGCTCATCATTTGACTCCTTCTGAGGCCTTGTGAAAATCCTTAGCTGACCACTGATTTCAGGAAAAATCAAATCCATTACATTTATCACATGGTCTCTCTTCTTCCATATAACTAGTTAGGACCTGAGCCAAAATTGACATTTTTGGTCAGCTCAAGCTTTCAATGGTCAGTTCAGTGCCTCCCTTTGACAACCAATTGCAAGAATGGCTTGGTGATGCCCCACCAAAGCAAATGCAAAGCCTAGGAGCTGTAGTAACTGTTAATCAGTATTTCCAAAGCCATATCCTGTTTTATAAAATTCTTAGCTGTGTTAGAGATTTTAGTGGTATTACATAAACCAGCATGATTTACAAAATTACCTAAGCACACTTTACTATCTAGATCCTCCTGTGGTCAAAACCGAAATTTTCTATGAGAAACCTCAAAAATACGCAAGCATATCATGTAGCAGCTAGCAAACACAGATTCAGACTCACTCTGCTGCTGTCCACCACAGGATTCATCTCCCCTTTGTGGTACTCCTTTCTTTCTCCCCCACCTTGAACAGAATCAATCTAATCTGGATGTCAAGTCATAGCTCAGTGCTAGCCAGAGGTGAAAAGGATAACCCTTAGCCAATATGATACATCACCACCGAGTGAGCTTGCTTTGGACTTCTGACCATCCTCATTTTCCATTACTGTAGTTAAACAGGTTCTTTGCAGGGGCTGTGATACTGATGAAGAGATTGCCATTACTCTGCCCAGCAGCAAACCATGTACCATGTGTGTCTCTTACTCACCCAAATAAGCAGAATTTTGCTTCTGTTCTTATCTCTGCTTTTGTTTTATCTCTAGCACATACATATGCACACATGTCAGTAACAGCATTTTTGGACACTCCAGGCACATCTGCTTCCCCCATGTCTGCCATTCCTGAATGCCAAGAGTAGGAAAGATCCTGAAAAGACATCTAATTTTAAGCAGAATATATCTGTTTCATATGGGACAAGATAGACGTAAGGGAAAGGCTCATTCATGAACTGACACTGTGAAGAAAAACAACTTTCTGCAGAGAATCCCAGAAGTTACCGGTGTCTCATAGTCCAGTGTCTGCTCAGTGAATTAGGAGGAAGAGCAGAGTTAGAGCTATTTGGAGGACTAGAGGAATGAGCACATAGTTATCATGGTCTCACACAGCCATAAGATTAATTTTTGTGTTTACCTTCCATGCAGTTGCTTGTAGGGCTGAGAAAGATGATGAAGAAGCATGTGATTTTCTGTGTGCTCAACAGGATTTTGTCCTCTGCTGGACAACATCAATTTGCCGTGTTAAAATAATACAGTCCCTGTAATTTCTGCACCTCTGCATACTGTGGTTTCTAAAGACACAAGAATGGACATACCCTGTGGTGCTTACAGTCGTGGAAGCATGAAGTAATTTCATTTGTTAGTGGTCTCTGGAGGTCATCTGGTCTAATGCCCTGGCCAAATGAGGCCCAACTCCAAAGACACAGCGGCTTGCTCAGCACCTCATCCAGTCCAGCTCTGAGTACCTCCAAGGATGTGGAGCATAGTGCTCTCCCTGTGTAGTGTGACTTCTCAGGGTGACCAGTCATCCCTTGAGGAGGACTTGACTCCTATCGACTTCACGCAATTTTCATCGATTTTAGCTGAAGCCAAATAAAGCATCCAGGTATGTGTCTACCCCTATTACACACTTCAAAAACTGTGTAAAACTGGCCAAAAGTCGATGGCACATCTGACGTACAATGAGAGTACCTAATGGGCTTGGAATGTCTTTCACATTTCAGTCATGATTATAGCCGTGATAGGTGCCTCCACAACAAACCTAGCAATCACCATTGAACCATACGCAACTCCTGTGGCCAATTTTCAGAGTACAGTGCTCACCATTTCCAGATGTTTCCTGAGGGATGTGCAGGGCTGCTGCAAGGGCAGAAGCATCTCATCTCCTAGGATTATTAGCAGTAAAGTCTGCCGCTCTTGAGTTTGTTTTAGGTAACAGAGTAAAACTCAACTGACTTAGAAATGCAGTGGAGGAATACAGAATGGGAATTTGATTTGACAGGGATCATGCTTTAATAGCAATACAAAATGACCATTTTATATTTCACGCATAATTATAGGTGTTTTGACATAGACAATATCTTACTCCATAAGAGTAAGGGTTAAAAAAGTGTCCCCTTTGTATGCTATACATCAACCAGGCCTGCATTCATGTCAGAGCCCAAACTTACTGTGTTTAATATTCAAGTTCATTTTCAAATTCCTTCCCATTAACATAATATATGCCATTTTGCAAGCCTGGTCAGAGAGATCTGTAACTAAATAATTTTCAAGTTTCCTTCATATCCAATGCATTATATGCAGTGTGAAATTATTTCTCCACTCTGTTCTTCATAGAAAAGCAATGCACAATATACCTGATTTTGTTGTAAAATATATTACAGACTTCAAAAGTTCCTCTGTGTGTATGCACAGTCATAAGAACTAATCCTAAATGATCATTTAATTGTCTATTTTAAGTTATACTTGATAGACCATTATTAGGTAAGCATTCAAAACTTGCAAGACAAGAAATGTATTAATGCTAAAATGATATTTTATAAAAACCTTCATTTTCTTTTTTATGATACTGCAGTATAATGCTTCTTGGTCCGAATCCTCTTGTGAGTATACTCACTGTATGTCAAAATTGTAAGAAGCATAAACATAAAGGAAGCTAAGAATTTAGGCCATGCCTAATTCATAAGTATTTTTTGTTTACACAACAATTTCTAATAAAAATTTAATTAGAAAAGCAAAGATGAAGAGTCTGAGAAATTCATGCAACAAAACTGGGAGTCATCCATGTATGTGGATTAGACAATCTAAACTCGGATCGATTTATCAAACTGTTCAGCAGGTTCACAGAACGCTTTTCAACAAGTCTAGCCACTGCTCCAAGCAGTCATGCCTCTGAATGAAAACTGAGAAAAAAATCTCCTGGTTTTGCCAAATTAGCTTTGAGATGTCAAGAATTTAAACTAAAAAGTCAAGGTAGATAACTGGTGGTGCTATACTATGTAAGCACACAAAACTAAACCAATCTCACACTCTAAATAGAAATCTCTAGTCTATAAAGTTATACTAGACTAAAAGGTTTGATTTTCTGTTGAATTTCTGAGATAGGAAACAAAATTTCACATATAAAAAATCCAAATTCCACTACAGAAAATATCATAATAAAGTATTAATTAGCAAAGCCACTAAAAATTTGCACGCAAGTCAACAGAAATTAAGATTTTAAACTTCTGAATGTCCCATTATCAAAAATGGTTAAGTATATTTGTTCATATATACTTATATCAGTTCATCACATTTTTATAGTTTGTTTTTCTTTTTTTTTTTTAATAATAAGATTCAAATGAATTCAAGATACCACTGCAAGCTTAAAATAAATAAAAGGCAGGTATTTTTGATCACACTGGCACAGGGATAACCACAGCAGCCTAACATTCAGTGTATGCTGCTCTAGGTTTGCATTTTATTGAGTTCAAACACAGTGTACAGCAAAATATAATGAAATTCTATTCATAATAATATACACACAAAGTGATTTTCCAAGTAAAATATAGTCCCAAATCCAGATGCTTCTTCATATTTAAGCTCTAGATTAAAGAACTTCAGTAATTCCACTGTACTGCTACACAAGTCTTTAAACTTGTTGTATGATTTACTCATACTCATCATTTACATGTATGAGTAGAACCACTCACAATGGTAAGCCTTCTGTAATGGTTTCACTCAGGCCTTCCTGGAGACCAGCTTGTAACCAGGAAGGAACTAGGAAGGTGATCACGGAAGTATTCCATGCTATTCCTTTACGTAACTTGGGGTATAAATAAAGCCCGCAGGAGAGACCTCCCTCTCTTCCTTTCTGGCGAGGTTCGAGAACGGTGGGTCCCTGTCTCGGTCGGGCTTATCTGGAGCTGAGGCCTACAGTGACTGCTGTTATCTGCCACGCGTGAGGGGAGAGCGCTGGGCCGTGTCGAGCCATCCTGCTTGTTCAAAGGGAAGTGGTGAGATTTTGGTAATTTACCTTCAGTTGGCTGGTTGACTTGTTTGGTCTTTATCCCTTTTTGTCCTTTTCCCTTCTCCCTCCCCCTCTTCCTTTTTTGGGGAACTGTTTGGGATTTCTGGAGTTGTAGTGTATAGTATTCTCATTGTATATATCTGTCTCATATGTAATATATATATATATTTGCTATAGCTTTGGCTGCTTAAGTTGTTTTTTTTTCTCTTCCCTCTCTGGGAAGCAGGTCCTTGTTGTCGAGTTTCAGGGACTTGGCGGGAAGCCAGCCCGAAACTTGCACACCTTCACAACATCAGTCTCTAAAATTCTTTAAATATATTAAATCATTTTTCCCCACTGAGCATTAAATCTCATGTCAGTTGGGTATTTTTTAATGAATATACTTTTGAGTTTTGTTATTATGACATTGTCACAAATATGTCATTTGTCATGACTCAGTTAACAGAAAGTCACCTCCCCTACTTTTACATACCAGTATATTCCAAAGATGTCCAGAGAACTAATCCTGCAAGGTGTTTCTAAAAACCCTTCAGACTAGAATAAGCAAAAGAATTTTGACAAAAATTTATTTTCTTCAGTCCTCATTGTAGATATATGTAGTTAGTCACACAACATTTTGCATTTTCTTTTAGGACAACTTTTGTCTCTAAAAATCGATGCTATCTAAAATAAAAATCAGTTCATAAATGTTTTGAAACATGTTTAGCAAGCATGTCTCCCAGTTCTCCTCTGCATCCCTCCTATACTATTTAAGTAACTGAGTTATTTTTTTTCTCTTAAATATTAAATAACAATAGATACAAGCTTGTACTTTTCAACATCTATTTGAAATGTTCAGTGCCTGTGATTTTTCCCTTTTACAGGTTGTTCAAAAGTTAATTGTTTCATAAATTTCTCCTGTTTAAGTTTCTAGCTGTATTTATTCATCTCTGGATGCATACTTTCTCAAGCTACAGGTATTTCCCACCGTAGTGGTTTGAACCAGGTTTTCCCCCTGAAGCTAAGAAAAAAGTGGTAACCCCCAAGGGGTGGTGACACTGGAGATTTGAACCAATCTGCACTCCCGCGAAATATAAACATACCACAACCAGACCGGACGAGAGGAGTTGTAGTTTGGTTGTAGAAGTGGTAGCCATGTTCTGAGGCCACGAGGAGCAAAGCGCAGAGCCTCTGGGGGGCTCTGGCTCCCCCTGGCCCCGGCTGGGGGGACTGCAGAGACTTGGAACAGTGTTAGACTGGGCTAAGTATCTGTAGTCATGCTGGGAGATGTTTTCTCCACCCTGGGCAGCGGCAGGAGTAGTGACAGACCAACACTGACCGGAGAAATGGTGGCACAGGGCCAGAAGAGATAAGACAAAGCAACAGAGGCATGCAGCACCACAGAAAGGACTCTTGGAAGGAGAGTCGAGAAAAGAGAGTCAGCAGCAGAGCTACAGAGTTTTGTGGGTAAGAACTGAACCAGACCCCCCAAACTCCCTTGAGACCTCCGAGAAAGGAGGGAGATGAACTCCTATTAAGGAGAGGAGTCTTGGACATACAGCACTAGAGAGAGAGAGGAGCTGAGAAGCTCAGAGCATCCTGGGAAGCTGGACTGGGACGGAGAGGAATGCAGAGGGGGGTGACCTTGGCCGCCCCCCCTCGCCACTGCTGCCAAGGTGGCAGCCTGAGGCAGAGCACAGGAGCTCTGCAAAGGGGAATCTGAATTCCCTGAAGATACCAGACTGTCACGAAGACCCCCTGTACTTCATGATATGACCGTGGTGGAACGACCTTTGTCTGGGGTGAACGTAGCCCACGGAAGACCCCTTTGCCTGCATCAAGGGGTCGAGAAGGGCTTGGATTTCCCCTCGTGAGTGCTGGCAGAAATTCAGCTATCAGCTGCTGCATGTGAAGAAGACAGATTGCTGCTGTAGAAGATACTCCTGCTTGGAGACTAGAAGGGATCTGTCCTTCTTCCCTCCTAGACTTTTATTTGGAGGGGAGAAGAGATCTGATCCATTGTAAATACTTATGTCATGGTAGAGATAGTTGTGATCATGTGTATAATGTATTATAATATTTATTTGTACAGTCATTGTAATATATTCCCTTTTCCCCCATTTGGAGTCTGGTGTGTTTTGTCTGGAAAAAAACCCATCTCACATCAGATTGAGATGTGACAGAATTTTGGGGATCTCAAACCATGACATCCACTTAGTGCAATCAAATGATGTATAGAACACAATTATCAGAGTCCTTATAATACCTCTACAGTCATATCATGGTAAACATTACTCTGCATTTTATTAGCAAAACTTCACATATTTTCACTTGTCTTAAATGATGTCCATCAACATAGCAACAAACTCACAGATACCCTACATAAAAAGTATTACGTAAAAGTGGCACAGGAATTCTTTTGAAAAACAAGTGCGGGCGCAAGTCTTTCCTTCCATGGTTATAAATCCCCTCCAATGTAAGTGTCCCTCTATAGTCCTTGGCAAAGCACCTTGGAGAAGTTAAATGTCCTCCATGAATGTTCTCAGCCGTGGAGTATCAGAGAGGGAGATGGAGGTAGTGAGTGGGTAGGCAGTTCAGGAGACACCTTTGCAGAAGATGCAAATTAGATATGCTCAAGACTGTTAAGCCCAGGATGAAACATCACACCTTTTAGATCCAACAAGCTAAAATACAATTCAGGTAAAGAAATAAACAAATATGAAGGACAAAGCTGTCACAATGCAATAGTTGTTTACAGAGGGTTAAGGTGAATGCTGAGAATTCCCAGGGCTGTTAAGGCTTACTTATGAAAGTTGTACTTTCTAACAGTATGTATATCCAAAGGCAGGACTGACCTGAGGCTGGCTATCATTTGCTCTGCTTTAGGAGACAGATCCTTTATCTGGCTTTCATGCAGCAGTTCTCCCAAAGAAAAATAGTAATCTGAAATGCAGAAAACAACCATTTTACCAAGGTTATTTTTGCCTAACTTGTTGGTTTAAAGTAAACAAATAAAGATAATACGAAGAGTATAAATACTCTATTGAATAAGGTTATTCTTTATTGAAGGTAGGGGAGAAATGAAAGGAATTTTAAGTAGTGCCTAAGAAATAAAACTTCACAAAAATAGAAGATCCAAATCCAGTTTGCTTTGCTGAAACGAGAACTCCCACTAACAATGAAACTACTTATGAATGAAATTTCTTTACTGTGCAAAGTAAAGACAGGAAGTTTAAGCACCAAGTATGCTCCTCTTTAGTTTTCAAAACAAGGGCAAGTGAACCTCTATGCAAGGATAGAATTCAGCCTCACAAAACCCATCACAACTTTTGCGGATTAAGATCTATGGAGGATGGGGATAAAACTGGAAATATGCAAGGAAAAAGGAAACAAAAAAAACACAAACCAAAACCAAGAAGGTTGAAAGAAATTCCCTTCAGCTTTTAAAGAGTCACTTTAAGCAATTTTGGTTTAGATCTCTGTCATCAAAATTTTTGCAATTACTCAAAAGCAAATAGATCAGTAATATTGTTCTCAAGTAGATGAAATCTTGCTTAAAGAAAAACTTAGAATTGTGAATTTTGAATAAAGCATGATTATGTTTTATTAGCTCTTAAGATCATCGTCTCATTTGTAAACTGGATAATTAAAAGAAGGCTATTAACTCTGTGTTTGCATATCTCAGCAAGAGGACAGGTTTTGCAAGGTGATCTCACTGTTTTGCATTCAGCAGCTAGCTCAACCAGGCCTGGGTAATTACCCAGCCTAATGACTCTGCAGATATTTTGCTTTTGTGCAAATCCTTGTGTTTTTTCCTGCCTGTACATCGGGAGAATTAACATAATTTTTTAAACTCTCAACGTGGACAAATATTTCATCCTTAACAAAGGTCCAGATCTACCAGAAAAAAAAAAAAAGAAAAAAAATCCAAAATTAGCCCCAAAACAAGAACAAACAAAACTTCCCAAACAAAATAAACCAACCAACCAACCAAATAACACCAAACAAAACCAAACAAACCCCAAACAAAATACAAATAACAAAAGAAGAAAAAAGGCAAGGGAAAAAATCAAAAGCCAAATGACTAAATTGCTTTCCTGCACAGTGTTTTCTTCCTGGATGAATTTCAAAAACATAATCTATAATCTTCAGAACTTACATTATTTTTGGAGGATTCCTGCCATAACAATGAGACACATTTTCTAGCTTTCGTGTATGCTGATCTTTCATGTCAATCCCCACTGGAACACTGTTTAGGGACACTACATTTTTATTGAACACCTTTTTTAAAATCCTGTATTTCAAGATTTTTAAGTCTTTGAAACTGAGTGTTGAACAGCAGAAAGAGTTCTCCACCATGAAATTGGCCACTACGGCCTCAGCCATCCCTTGACATAATTAAAAACATCGTTTTTATCTTGTGATTTCTGCTTAAGGCCACCTGGCTCAGAAGTTTTATTCCTCATTGATGTCACATAAGATCAACTTTCAGTTAGCCATTGAAGGACATTTTGATACTTTATCTATTAAAATGATTCTTCTACTTGGGATTTTTTCCCCCTCCCCTCCTCTCCCCTCCCCTTTTTTCCCTTCTTTCTTTTGTTTTCCTACTTTTCTTTTTTTTTTTCCTTTCTTTCCCATTTCTATTTACATTTAAGATTAATTTATAGAGCTACACCTTATCTTTGGATATTTTTACATTTAAAATTTTCTGCTTTCTATTTCAGAAAGTAAATAAATATACACCAGTATATGAATACGGTATATAAAAAACATATATGTACTGTAATTCAATATTATATAGAAAGAAGTAGACTTGTACTTTACCAGTGCAACAAAAGAAGGCTCCAAGTACAGCAGGCACAGATACACACAGCTGTGCTTAGGTTCTCAATTGCAGTGATGTTGAGATGATACTGATTTCAGAATAGATCAGCAATGCAGGAACACATCTGAAGCCTGCAGTAGTCTCCTCCAGACCATGGTAAAATGTATGCTGTCACATTTTCCTCTACTATTAATTAATATTAACAGAACATGTCTGTGTCTACTTGCAATGAGTCCTGCTTTTATTTGACTTCATGGACACACATGAAGAGACAATCAAGAGAGTAGGAGCAGTTGATATTATCATGGGAGATACTGGAGTTTAGCATATTTTCTGTCTTCCATTAAAAGTAACAATAAAGGTAGAATAGGAAGAAATACATTATGCCATCTTCAAAATTAAGCAATGAACTTAATTTTATTTCTTTGATTTTGGAGTTCATGGAAGTTCCCAAATTTTACTCACTTTCTCCCAGGATATGCTGAATCCTACTGTCAGCCAAAGCCCAGCTTAGACAAACAGACACACTTTCATTTAATTAATTTGTGACATATTTTCCTGTAATATCAACATTTAATATGTTTCAGCATTTTCAGCTCCATTCGGAGATACTCAACAAGCTCAGATTCCAAAGAGAAATTAGGGTCTGCAAGCACATTTTAACTGAGGCAAAAAAAAAATTTTATTCTCAGAAATCCCTGTTAACTAAAACTGCTATGTTTCAGAGAGCTCTGAAATTAGCACAATTCATGTTAAGACAGCCTTTCCAAATGTCTTCTCCAGATAATTCAGCTAAACTGTCATATATTTAAAAGTATTTCAGAGTTGGTACAGAATGAGATCATTGTTAGAGACCTCTCTAATATACATGTGCATTCATATGCATTTTTCCCCAAGGTAGGGCTGTGGAATACATTTAGTAGACGATTATACATAGGGCTGTCTTTCTGTCATAATCTTTCTTTACATAGGACAATTTGTGGGACTCCATGATATGCAGCTAGCAGTGCCTGTACTCAAATGAAGTGATACTGAATTTCTATTATGCATGTGCCTTAGAAACCTAGCAGCTCGCCATAAAGATTTTATTCACACAGCAGATTTGTTGTTACTTAGATAGTTTCAGACAATTTTAGATTTGAATGGACATGGCAGGATCTGACAGCATAAAAAGAAATACCAAGAGAAAGAAGCATGTAGAACCAAATGATATATGATGCAACCTAGAGAGCAATAAAGAAAGCAGGATGTTAAGGTACTCTTGTAAATATCTTTCAAGGAATTCAGGTTTCTTTTCCATAAGACTTTTAAAATATTCAGTATGCATTACATAGGGAATAGATAGATGCATAGATAGATACATATACACACACACACTCTTGTACACAGATGCTGCACTTGTCTAAATCCTTTCTTGTCTCTTAATCTTTCTGGGATCACTTTTAAAAAATTCTGTCTAAGCTGCAAACACAGAATATGCAAATCTATGTATCAACCAAAAATGTGCATGCAATTTATACTTCTCCTTTCCTGCAACTGGATGTACAGTTTTGTACAC